TCAGAGCAGAATTCAGAGGAACTGCTTTTCAGAAGGAGAAGTTTGAAATGAGCCAGTATTTCAGGGAACTGAACACTGGGATGTTTCACTGCCCTTTATGGTCTGACCAAGAGTCACTTTGAATAACTGGCTGAGTGAGAAGTTGATAAATTCTGGCCTTGCAGAACATTTCTTATTGCTGAGTTTCTGTGGGTATTTTAAAGTAATCTGCATATGATCTGTTGTGCATTTATTTTCATGAAATGAATACTGCTTGGGAACCCTGCCCAAAATGAGGCTATCGATGGCAAAGGAAGTGATGCCAGATTAGTTATAATATTTCTGTGTGGAGACTTCCTATGTGCTCCCAACGTAGCCTGAAGGGACAGGGATGTTGAATTCAATTAGTTATTTTCATGGTGACTTGTTTGGACCTAATGTTAAGATGGCATTCACATAGTACAAAATATATAGATTAAAAATCCCTTAATTTCATGGCTTTTGCCCCTTGAGAATGCCGTGGTCAAAATAATCTAGCATATAAAAAGAGTTTCAGAGGACTATTTCAGGAAGCAGGAATATGTGTTTACGTTTAACCTCCCTTTCTCCTCCACCAGTCAGTTTTGAAACAAATTGTGCTATTTTCTCTGACTTCACCAAACTTCATACTGCAGATAGGGCAGTTAAAAAAATAATAATTGAAAAAAAAATATCCAGTAGTGATGCTGCATCGTGGAACTTGTGGGCTCATTTCAGGCTTTCTGTTTGTGTTTCTTGATTCCCCCAGTTCCCAGATGTGCAGTGACTCATCCTACTGAACAATGGGAACAGCATCTCTTATTCCTTCTCTGGGTCCCGGCTGGCAAAACTGTTACTCAGAGGATATGGACTGCAGAGGGGGAGATTAGCACTGAGAGGATGAGTCAGCCAGGCCTTTGTGGTAACTCTTGTGTGGGGAGAAGAAGTTGAGGGCTAATGGTCTGTGCTCTGGTGCACTCAGAAGGACTGTCTGAATTATGGAAAATTCATAACTCAGGGGTTCACTCTTCCCTTCCCCACCATTGTCCCATGCAGGGCAACACTTGGACATCTTGATTGATAATCAAGGAGGATTAAAAAAAACCCAACCCAGGTAGCTGGTTTGTGTCAACAGCCACATGCGTGATGGTCATTTCGGGTTTTGCTGTTAAAACTTTCAGATGTGAAAATACTAATGGACTGTTAGTTCCAAATGAATTAAGTAAGACATGTTAGTGCACGTGTGCTTCACTGGCAGACTCTGCTGGGACTGGGACGTGATGGGGCTTCCTGTCTGAGTGCTGGGATGGTTGAAATTAATAGTCTTTAAGATTTTAACATTATTTATGAATATTGCTGGAATATTTTTTAAAGGAAATAGTATACTAACAGGGAAATACAAAAAGATTTGGGTTTTATCAATTTCTGAAAAGCTCAACAACCTTCTATGAACATCATTGATCTAAGGAAGTTTCTTGAGCTGCCACAGTTTTTCTCCCAACACCAGCCCTGAAAAGATCTGACCTGGACCTTTTTTGTTTGTGGCTTTTTTTTTTGAGTGAAAACACCACAAAGTGATTATATTTAGGTATTTACATGCAGTATAAATACACATATAGTGTATAAATATACATATAGTATAAATAACTTTGGCTTTCCTTTCTATTTTGCTACTTGCAAACGTGGCTTAAAATAGATGGCGAGTTTAAAAATCTCTTCTTTTTTCACTAGAACCGTTAAAATACTGAAATTGAAGTCATCAATCTGCCTGAAGATATTTTTAGTATCTGATGAATCTATTGCAAATATTTGCTGCCACTTTTATAGGAAGTCATGCTGGTGAACCAGAAATAACTGGCTAAGATCTGGAGAAGGAGAGCATTTGAAGTGCTAAGCCAGCTTTGAATGCAGCTGAATGGTCAGACAGATATTGGAGGAGCGCTAAGAATTCACCCCAAAAGAGCCAAACAAGCTTCTTTGTGGTCAGTGTCTTCAAGAGAAAAGAATAATTGAACATGGGATGGGCAGCTGATACTTTGATAATAATGTGCCTTGAATGGAAAATCTGCTTTGATATATAAACTCTTTGTGGGTGTGTATTTTATATATAAATATCCACAGACAATTGTATGGGTTTGTAATACCCAAAGCATGAGACAGCTTTGCATAAATAATAATTTGTCAGTGGAATTCAAAACTGCTTTCAAGTGCACCTTGATATAAAGCTAAATAAACTTGCCTTCTAGATCTGATTAATACTGCTGTCTGTTTTCCCTGGATGACAAGGAAAAATTTGAATAGAAACGAATGTTCAATTAGTATAATGGTTCCGATTAAAAATACTAACACAGAACAGTCATAAAACCTGGAGTTTCCATATTTTCCTCATTTAAATATGTTACAAGTTACTCATCAAGTCAATTAATGCTGAATCAGTTGTGTGTGCTGCCTGTGGATGAACTGAAATGCCCCACACACTTCCCAGAACGTCCCTGTTTTCTGTGAATCTGACTAAGATGTAGGACAAGGTTATTCCAGAAGCCTTTGGAGCAGGAACTGAATCCACACTTCCGTAGGACACAACTCAGGACTTAATCAGGGAATCATTAAAGCAGGTTTTCAGTGTATGCAGTGGGCTTGGGGTTGTTATTGTTTTGGGAGCTTCTTGGCGGGTGTTTTTCCTCCCTTCATGTTTGTGTGCTTTAATGTTTTGAGCTTTTTTTAACTTCAGACCCTCTGGAGCTTGTTGGGGGTTTGTTGTTTTGACTGGAAACAGATATTTTGACTTAAGTACTGGATGTCTTTGAATTGTGCTGGAAGAGAATATTCAGACACCTTCAGATCTGTCAGACCATGCATATGGTGCTCACACCTGTTCCAGCAACCTGACTTGGTTACCCAGCTCTCCAAGTGCTTTGCAATTACTGCTTAAAATTTCCCAGAGTGAATTAACTTGGCTTAATTGCAGCACTAGGAAGAGCTGTGTAAGAAATTAGAGAAGTCTGCTTTCCCTAAATCCCTGCAAAAATCAATGTGCTTTTTTTTTTTTCATTCATCAGTTTATTTTCTTACCTTCCTATAAATGTGCAAAATGTCCAAGTGATTGATGTGTGGGGTGGGAAACAGGGGAGGCAGAAGCTGTAAATCAGGTGATCCTGCCTGTGTGTCCCAGCAGTTTAAGGCATCCAGCTGTTTCCTGCTCCGCGTGGGAGGGTGGATGGACAGCAAGGCCTCTTAAAGCAACTGGGTTCCTGCTAGAAAATAGGAAGAAGCCGTATCAGAGATGGCCCCTTTGCAGTATTTTTGCACGTCTAAAGGCATTGTGTGGGACAGAGCACAATAGAGAGAGAAGGGGGTTTTTTGTGGCTTCAGTGATCTTTTCTTTTTGGGCTCTCCTGTCTCCCAAACATGACTAATGCTGTACAGGAAGCCCTTTTCTCTTATTCATGCAGTCTGTGATATCTCTTCTGATCCACAGAGTGCCAAAAAATACAGGAAATTACTTTCACCTTATGAAAATTCATGATTGTAAGGAAGCTCTTAGAGCAATTGTTCTTTGGAAACTTCCCCCCCCCTTCCAACTCCCTCAAAAAAAAGGTAATTTGTTCTGCTAGCAATCCACTGTAAATCTTTTGTTGATACATGGTAGTCTTTTGCAAATACTCTGTTCTCTCTCCTTTATGAAAAGACACTTCCAGTTTTAAATGTTAGGAAATAATAAGCTCCAGCTTCTTTTTGTCTGTGCCTTATGCTGGGAGTGTGTACTTGTGTGATACCCTGAATCCTCTGATCTCCAGTCTGATTCCTCACGATGAACTGTTGTCTTGGCATCTGTTTACAGTTGTACTGCAGGGGAATAATTCTGTTCTGCTGCCTCAAGGCCATGGTGTCGAGGAGAAGGTGTAATTTAAGAATTTATATTGCTCTTGGAGTCTGAGCTGGTACTTGGAGAAAGTTCCATTCTGAATTAGTGACTTGGTGAGGGCACCTACGGTCAGTTTGGTCACTGCTGACACAGCTGTGATGAAGAATTTGTTTTGCTGCCTAAAATTATTAAAAGGCAGCGGGATTTTCCCATTTTATCGTTCTCATGACATGGCTACAACTGCAAGACACATGTCCTGAACAATGAAGACTCCTTTCTCACTGAACAGATCTTCATCTGAAGAAATGCAGGGCAAGTGTTTGAAGGAGAATTTCACCCCAGAGCAGTCGTCATAAACCTCTTATGCAAGAGGAAGAAACTTTCACACAAAAATAAATTTTCCCTGTAAATGCTCCCTATTTCTTCTCAATGTAACTGCTAAACTTTGTACAAGAGGAGCAAATCCATTGCTAAACTCTCGAGCCTAAAAGGGAAGCTGTCTGTAGAAGAGCGAGTCCTTCAGAATGTTCCTTTATTTCATTTGTTTGTGACAAGCCAGTCTAGCTTAAATCATCGCAAATTGTGGGTGACTTTTAAACCTTTCGCTTTTCTGAAGATATGCCACCCAGTCTAGGATATTCCTTTGTTAATTTTAAACAAAATACATTGGTTTCTTAGAAATGTGTTTCGTTTTACTCCCACTCAGTGTCAGTTAACTGCATTCATCTTACAAGGGATAAAAACCCTATTTCTTTTAAGTCAAAGAACTGACTTTAATAGCACTTCCTTTTCATTGTGAAGATGTACTGGATAGATTTGAGCATTTATTCAAATCTCTACTCAACTTTGATTTCTCTAGACCTAACAAAGAACTGCATGTAGAAGAAATACTACCTTTCCTGCACGTTAGTACTATATTATGGCAGCTCCACTTGCTTATCAACAGTTTGTGAATCAGGTTCTGTAATGCTTGTATTGTTGCAGCCCCTGAAGTGTATCAAGGATGGTGCCCAAGCTTGCACTTGTGATGTTTGCTCTGTTAGCCCTCTGTGCATGTTGGAAAGTGAAAAGGCCTTAGTTCAATTGGATTTGCTGTCCCAGAAACAAGCTTAGTTCCCATCTCTCTCCTTTTCCACAGGGTGAATCGGTGAAATACTTCCTGGATAACCTGGATCGCATCGGACAGCTGGTAAGACACCTTCCCTTTCTGAACCAGAGAGCTCAAAGGGACAATGGAAGGAAGCCTGGGTGTGCAATGATTGTTGATTTTTGTTTGGGAGTTTTTGTTTTTTGTTTTTTTTAATAATAATGCATTAAATAATCCCAGTGTTCTTTCTCTAGAAATATTAAACTCCAGCCTTTTGAAACTGAAGCTTAGTATTTGCTTAATCTTTTTTGACAAACAGCAGATCATGGAAGTTGTATTTATGCACATATTTTCTTTTATCAGCCCTTCTGCACAGTCTCTGGCTCTCATTCACTTTTCATGATGCTCTGATGGCTGGTGCTACTTAAGGTAGCAGAATGGAGCCTTAAAAAAATGAAAAAAACCACATTACTAGCACTTCTAGGATGCAAAATCCTTAGTGGAAACATCTGTCAGGAGACTTGGGAGGGGAAAGAACAGAGATGATTTTCCTAAATAGCAACAGTGAGAAGCTGCTGAAGAACAAATCTCTCTACAGTGGTAGGTTGGGCCACAACTTAAGACAGAATGTGTTGCTGTACTCACTGGCCATGGGATTGTGAACCTGGAAGGAGTATTTCCACTACAGCTTTCGAGATGGTCTTTTTAAGGGTAATGAACTGTGAAAACTAGATTTTAAAAACAGAAAATCTTTTCAGTGATGACTTGGTGATCTGCTTTACTGAACACTGAGTGGAAATGACAAATAACACTAGCTAAGAATTTGATCATGAAAAAATAGATTTCAGCCTGAAAACAAGAGGCTTAAAGGATAAATATGTGAACAAGTGGATTAGTCCTATATTTTTATTCTTGTATGTCTCAGGGTCTTCTAGATATTCACCAGTGTTGAGCTAAATGGTCAGCAGTCCAGTATGTTAAAGCTGAGTATTCATTGTTCTCCTGATAATTTAAAAAGCATAGCTCCTGGTGATTTTACCCATCACTTCAGTGTTCTGGCCTTAAACAGCATTTTTGAAGGACTTTTTTTTTTGACAGTTCTCTCCTTCCTTTTCCAGAATTACTTCCCCAGCAAACAAGATATTTTGCTGGCCAGAAAAGCCACGAAGGGGATCGTAGAGCATGATTTCATCATTAAAAAAATTCCTTTCAAGATGGTGGACGTAGGTGGACAGAGATCTCAGCGTCAGAAATGGTTCCAGTGCTTTGATGGAATAACTTCCATTCTGTTCATGGTCTCCTCCAGCGAATACGATCAGGTTCTCATGGAAGACAGGCGCACAAACAGACTCGTGGAGTCCATGAATATCTTTGAGACAATAGTCAACAACAAGCTTTTCTTTAACGTTTCTATTATCCTATTCCTCAACAAGATGGATCTTCTTGTCGAGAAGGTAAAGACTGTCAGCATTAAGAAGTATTTCTCGGACTTCAAGGGCGACCCTCACAGGCTGGAGGACGTGCAGCGTTACCTGGTGCAGTGCTTCGACAGGAAGAGGAGGAACCGCTCCAAGCCGCTCTTCCACCACTTCACCACGGCCATAGACACGGAGAACATCCGCTTCGTGTTCCACGCGGTGAAGGACACGATCCTGCAGGAGAACCTGAAGGATATCATGTTGCAGTGAAGGAGAGCAGCGGGTGTTCTGTTACAATTTTGCTGGAGGGTTAGATCAAAGTTTTTATCCTTTCTTTACGGCCCCTGCATGCGGTGTAGGACCCATGCGAATTCCTTGGCTCAGGAATGCTGTAAACTAGCCAGTCCAAACAGGAGCTATAGGCCGGAGGAGTCACACGTTGATGTTAGCTACTGAATCATTTGGACTAGAAACACTACTGAACCCTGGCCATGGTAGGTTCTGTACCAGTTTTGGGACGCTGAACAACACAACCACCTTCTGCCTTCTTAGAAAAAAAAGAAATCTCTGACAAACCATGTATGGAAGACACATTGTTTTAAGTGAATACGCTCATTTTTCAGAGACACTAGTCGTACAAACTGCCTTTTTTTTTTTTTTTTTTTTTTTTGTAGTTTGGAGGTGCTGAATCAATCAAACTAATCTAAACATAATGAGATTGGCAGCTGTATTGGAGAATGTTAATGGAAGTTCTGTTGTTAACCCTTAGGAATATAACCAGATCTTGTGTGCGTGTTCAGCTTTGCCAAGGGTCTACAGTCCACTCACCGAGGTGGATGCACAGCTCTTGTCTGAAGGTTTTGCCTGAGTCTCCTGGGGCAGAAGTCTAAAGCTGTGTGAGGAAACTCATGTTGGAGTGAATGGGATGGGAAGTTGACATCCTCGCTGATGTGGAGAAGGGTTTATTTTGCACTATAGGTGAAGGTTGTTCCATCATGGGAATACTGATTTCCTTGGTGAAGCAGCCTGTGCTGGAGCACCCAACCACGTATCTGCACAGTGGGTGCTCGAGTGGGATGTACTCCATGGAAACCCAGCACTGTTCTCACCGTGGGCAGTGTGTGTGAAGGTTCAGTATCTCGTGTGACAGGGCTTCATCTACACTCAGAGGTTTGAAAGCTGATCAAACTCTTGAGCAAAGGTTTTGGTAGCACAGCAGCTGCTTGATTAGTCCCAACAGCTGATCTTATAGGAAGACTGAACACCCCAGAGATCCCAGCTTTTCCAGCTGCACTGATGTGTTTGGACAGCAAGACCTTGCTGTGAAATTAGCCTTTAATCTGTGTCTTAATGGGATCTTTAGCCTATAGTAATGCACATGTAACTCTGAGCACAGCTGAGTTTGGAGTTGCCGGTTTTGGGCAGTGGTTTGTGTGTAAAATGGTAAGAGGCTGTGAATAATGTTGATCTGAACTCCGAATTTCCTTGTGCTCTCAATCTCTGTCAGGTGCCTTTTTCTGTGTACAGACATTGAATCTTTTCTACTACAGTGGGGTACATGGACAAACCGAAGATATTGTAGTGCTATCCTTTAGGTAACTCTCACACATAGTTTACTGTGCAATTTTTGTCATAGTTTTTATCCCAGAATAAAACCTGAAGGGCTGTTTGTACCCATAAAAAGTCAGCAGATTCCCTGGAGTTCTTATCCCCTTTGAGCCTGTAATGGCATGTCAAAACAAGCAATGTTTTACTTCAGCTGGTAATCCCATGGGAAATGCGGTCAAAGAAAAGTCCCGTTCCGTTGTCCTTTCATGTTAATTTGGATAAAATCTGGAATCTCTCTTCCCCTCTGAAGCTTGCAGATGTTCATATCAGTATTTTTGTGTAGTTGCCTGATGTAGCAGCCCCTTGGCTTCCTTTGTGCAGGCTCCAGAGTGGAAAAGCTGTGGCTGTGTCAGTGCTTGTTAACGGGCACAGTATCGAGGTAAGAAGCAACTGAAAAGTTGCAGATGGGAAAATCCTAACTTAAATTTGAGCAAACTTAAAAGAGGAATTAGTTTCCTTGCAACAAGTCTTATTTTGCCAGGACCAACTTGTCTTTTTAAATATTTATTCATTTCTAACCTTGAAGGAGGAAAATCTTGTGACTCTTAATATTCAGATGGGAGGAAAACCTTTAGATTATTACATTTGAAAAGGTAAATGTTCCAACACGGTGTGATGCAGACAAGTTTACTCATCACATAAGGTTGGTTTCTCTAAGCCCACTTGTTTGGCTGAAGGCTAAGGCTGCTTTCAAAGCTTTCAGATGTTTTCTGAGTTCTTGGTAGTGGTTTTCACTTCACACAAGACACTGGGAAAGAGAAGGCAGTTGTGGGCTGACCTGACTTCTAGGTTGACTTGACTTCAGTTCTTAGTTTGCTGTGAGCTTTATTCTTTCACTAAATTTTCCAGATGGGTTAATATTATGCTTGTTTTCTCAAATGAGTTAAACATTCCCTTTCAACTGTGTTTTTTTTCTCAAGAATTACCTCAGTTTTTTTGTCTGAATCTACTGTAGTTTTACCTGGAGGCATAGCATGGAATTTCCTGTTCTGTTTTTCTCTTGATACTCATCCATGGTTTTGTATCCTTAGTCACCTTATGGATTTAAAACTCTCAGCAGAGCTAATAATGCAACTTTTATTTTAAGTAACTTAAAATCTGCACCTGGAAAAGAAACAGCATGAGATATCTCATATTGAGCTCTCAAGCTTTTTTTTTTTTTGTTACCATATGGCAGTTTTGCACACAAAGTCAGTTTTAGGGAGCCAGTTTGCTCACCTTAGGCCCATTGTTGCCTTTCTTCTTTTTATTAATTAAATGGGCCTAAGTGAGGGGCTAATCAGCAGTTTGGCTCTGTGGGCTCAGTGTTCTGTCAGATTTGGGTAGTTGATGGATCACAGCAGGAACCCAAGATCAGGAAACTCTTTTTGCAAAAGTCAAGCACTTCTCAAGTTTGCCAAGTTGGTGGCCCGAGAGTGAAAAAGGACGTGGGGGGTGGTTTTAAGTGTCAGCTTTCTCTGCAAAATACACTCCACTTCTTGCCACAACTGAGGGGGTTTGTGTTTTGGGTTTTTTCAAGGTAAGTTGTAGTACAGTAAAGCCAGATAATCGTGTTATGGTAAATCAGTTAATTACTAAAGCAGAGCTTAGGTAGGTGAGGTTGTTCAAACATCTCGGGACAGGCTTGTTTGGTTGCCTTAGTCCTTTCACCAGAAACAAATAGAAAACTTTTTAAGTGACATCCTGGAGAACTTCGCAGGTAAACACAGCTGGAGAGAACATCTCTTTTTGTTAACTTTATAGGCTTATTGTTCGTTTGGCTGCTCAGGAAATGGGTCACAGGCAGGATGATAATCAAATGGAGACCTTGAACAACTCCTTTTTTTTTTTTTTAAGAAAAAAGCAGCTTTTTGCTGTCCCTCCTCTGCCACCCCGGGGTCAGTGGCCAGTGATGGAGTGTTGCAGACGGGTTGTCTCTCCTAAGCACAAAGAGAGGAAGTGCTTCCAGCGTGTGCCTGTGGGAGAGACTTACATAATCTTGCAGTTTAAGTAGAAAAACTAACTCAGTGGGAGTCATTTATCAAACACTACTTTGTGTTTGTCGTCCTCAAAACAGGCTTGAAGCTAACAGATGTGTCAGTCAGTCCCATTCCTTCAGATTGCAGTGCTGTCATTCTCTGAACAGTTCTTGGATGCACTGCAAGGTGACACGGGGAATTGGAATTAAAAAGGAAGAATGGTTTTCTGCAAGTGACATATTTAATAGGCACTTGTCACTTCGAAAGAATTAAGTGGTTCTTAATGGTTAAAATTAATTAATATTGGTTATGGAATTGAAGTTACTGGCCACTCAGTTTTACAACTCAGAGGTTCTTTCAGTTTGATACAAAGAATTGATCTGATTAAATATGGCAGCATGGATTATTTGACTTATTAACTTGGTAATATATTTGATTTTTTCAATTATTGCTGTGTAACCTAGAACTAGGCATGTTACAAGCATGAAGGAGCTCCTGCAGATGACCATTTCCAGGCTTTCTGAGGCAGCTGAAGCCTGAACCTCAGCCAGGCAGGCAGAGTGGAGAATCTAATAGCAAAGGAACTGGAGGGAGATGGAGTAGGAAGAGCTCACTTGTACATGGCACTGCAGACACAAATGGAATTCCACCGGGAGAGCTAAAATATGGTGTGGAAAACAGTGCGTTTGGAAAGTGTGCCCCATCCTGTCCATGTGTCCCACCACCCCCCCAGGTATTCACCCATCCTGGTTACTGTGACCTGCAAAGAATTATGGAATTGAAGAAATTAAAGGAATAGACACAGAACCACTGAAGAAACCAGCAGCTTTCTTTAGTGAGCCACAGCTGCCATAGAACAGCATCTTAGAGAACAAGTCCTCTGCTGCCTTTAGATGGATGTCTTTGTATTAACTGTGTTTTAACTTACATTAACTTACATTTTGGAGTCTTTCCTCTGCATGTACCTCTTTACTTCTGGGGAAAAAAAAAGAAAAAGTAGTTCTGCTGCATGGACCTACAGGATTTCTGTAAAAGGCCCCTCTGATTTTCAAGCAGTGGGTTTTGACACCTGACTTAGCTTGGTTCGTGTCATCAAATTTTCAGGAGTATCTGCTGGATTGATGGATGATTTGATGCACACCAGCTTGAGAGACAAACATGATATGCAGCAACACCTCCACACAGTGCAGTTTATCTTGTCAGCCAAACCCTGATCTCTCATGACGAGAACTGTAAGTTTAGTTGTAGCCTCTTTTCTCTATCCTTTTTCTAGTATAAAATCACGTGGTGTAGTCAGGGGTTTAATATAGCACTGCCAACTCTTTACCTCATACTCCAAGTCTGTTACACAAAGTGGTGGGTGGGGTGTTTCAGTAGCAACTATAAAACATCTGTGCCTACTTTTGTAAATGAGCTTTTAAGAGTTTTTTAGGGAGCATCCATTATGGATCAGGAAGACTGGCATGGTCTGGGCCAGACTTGGCCTGAGCTAATACTGACTCCACTCAGTTCTAGACAAGGACTGTCTAGCCTAGTGAGGAATAATTGGTAAGACAATACAAAACCTAGTGCTTTTTAATAATACCTGTTTTGTAATTAGCTGGAGTGATCTCTGCTTTGTGCTGTGAAGTGGGCACTTCTTTGTTTTAACACTAACCTTTTTTTACATAGATGGAAATGAGTAAAGCCAGGACATTTGAAGCTGAAACTGCTGCTGTGCCACCAGGTGATGCTGGCCCTGTGCTCATCTTGGTGGTTGGGCAGTTCAGCTCGATTCTTGATGTTTTTATCTTTCTAATGGCATTTGGAAAGCGGTGTTGAAGTTTGTCTGTGTGTCTATGCTTGTTTTCTTACGGGGTGGGGAGTGTGGAGGTACTAGATTGTCAGTGCTAGTGGTTCTGTGCCTGGCTTGAACTGTATCACAGCCCAGCTCTTGGCATTTGTCTGATGGTCGTATCTTCTGTCTGGTGTGAAAATAGTCAGAGGGGGGAAATAAAGAGCAGCACTGACTTCCAAGGTGGGCATTCTGGTAAAAAAAGCCAAAGTATGTTGGAAGGGAGCAGGAGAGGGGAGCTAGTTTCTAAACAGATCCCAAAAGCTGATGGTGCTTGAAGACTGACTGTACTGAAGTGAAATGCCATCTGCACTGACCCGAAAGCTTTGAGTGACTCCAGAGAGCTATTGGCTGTGAATTAAGAACAGCAGGCTGGTAAGGCTGGCCATGCCATTGCAAATCTCTCTTCATCTGTTCATAACTGGGTGCTAAAACTCAATTTTTACTAAGATACACTATGCAGATCTCTGGCCAGACAGTGCAACTTACTCCTTCCTGACAGCTACTTAAACTTTCTTCAAGATACCAGAGCACGATAAGGTAAGAGACCTGGGTAGGAGGCTGTTTCTGTTATTTGAATAAAAACTACATGTGATGGAGAGCAAAAGTAGAGAGCATCGTTTGAGGGAAGTGACAGGTTTGGAGTAGCACGGATTCTCTGCTGATGCTTCCCGTCAATCTCTTGTGCTGAGCTCGTGTGCAGGTGGTTGGGCACAAAAGCTGAGAGGAGACAGAAGGGAGAAGGGGGATGTGGAAGAGAAATGCTCTGTTGGGAGCTCACAAGACTTGGAAAGGTGGTTGGTGGACTAAGGTTTGGAAATGTGTGTTCAAACTCCCGTTTGCATTGAAAGCCATTAACTCTCCGTAGGATAACGAGCGCCCCTCCAGGGAACAGCTTGTGTTCCCTGGAACGTGGAATGAGCTTGAGTTGTTGATACACATTCAAAAGTATTTCTGGAGACTGTGCTGAACATGGCTAGTGTTTCTTGCCCTAGTGATGAGTTGTCTTGTTTGTGGAGCCAATATGTACAAAAGCAAACTGACAAAACACCAGGTTATCTCGAGACACAACCACGTAGCTTAGGAAGCCAAGTAATTGTTATCTTCTATTCTGCAATGTGCTTGCTCTCTGGTGCCTATGCATTAACACACATACTATGCAATATCAGTCTTTTTTTTAAACCAGTTCACTGCATTGGGCAACAAAGGCCTGAGTTTAGCCTTAATTTTCTTAACAATTCACAGGAAAGTACTTTAAAAACAGTGACAAACTAAAAGAAGGTGAAAAATGCATGAAGTAAAAGCACAGTTCCAGACTGCTCACGTAAGTGTCTTTCTAGCACCAAAACAGCATCTGTGATAGAAGCAGCTACTTGCTGTAATAGTTGCAACTTATGAAAACTGTGTACTAGATAAAATTATATTGTGATGTGTAAAAAGTGTATTTTATAGCTTTGGTGACTTAGTTTACTGTTTTGTATATATGAATTTTATAAATCTATTAAAACTTGACTTGTTATACTGTTCTTTATGGGTTTTATCTTTTCACCAGAGTCTGAAGTGACATTTTTTTGCCTTATTCAAAAATTTTCTGCAAGAGAAATGCTTTTTGAATAAATTACAGCGTGGAACTACAGCTGTCATGGAGTGAAATCTCTGTGTAACCTCTGGGTATCTCCCACCTCTCCACTTCTGGGCTGAGTCATTCTTCCTGTGTCCAGGAGCTAAGGCTGGTGAGACATTAACCTCTATAAAACTTGTAACTCATTCTCTGTAGTGTTCCAGGAGCTGATTCTGGGGCATTAGCACTGATGGGAAGTGGGAGGAGAGGCACAGCTGGAGTTTGCTTATGTATTTGAAGCTCAGCAAGAGCAGATAATTAAGCCTGTGGAGTTGGCAGCACCTGTTAGAGATTCCTCTCTGCTGTGCAGCATCTGGTAATAAATAGCCATGGGAACTGTACTTGCTGCCTTCCCAGTGCCAGTCCCCTCTTTTGGACTCACTTGCGTGCCCTGGTGCCTTGTGCAGCACTGCAGAACCATCGACCTTTGGAGAGTCACCAGTGTCCCTGTTACATGGCAGTGCCATCCTGTGCCAGCTAATGCTGCCAGAACTCCACTTGTCAGGAATGCTGTTCACCTTTCCTTGCCTGTGCTTGAAGAGGTCACATCTGGCAGACTTTTGTGGCAAGCCTTAGTTGTTTCTTGTGTGAACTGTTAATGCCAGATCAGTTCCACTGGCAGGGGCACAATTCAGGATCCTTCATGGAGTGTTGTTTGTCCTCTTTACTGATGGTTGGAAATGTAGTTTGGGAATGATTGTCTCTTTGTCCCTGGAGTTGATGAGCACTTTTAGGTTACGCGTATTGTCAGTGTTCAGCACCTCTGACAGTGAGGGCAGATGAATTGCGAACTCAGGGTGCACTAATAGGAGGTTTCCAGGTGTGATCACATACTTGGGAATCTGGAAAGCTCTCAGCAACAGCAGCAGCTCCACATGATCTCCTCGGTCAGCTCTGTGAAAGCAAATTGGACCTTTTCAGAGCCAAAATGTTCTTGTGAGGTGTTCCTTGCACAGATGCTGCTCCGTGAGTGCAGAGGCTGAAGCAGTTGGTTCTGCAGGTAGGTTTGCTCACAGTGCCAGTGAACGTTTGTACCCCAGGGAGAGCCTAAACTCCATATATTAGCTTGGAATTCTCTTTCTCAGATCAGCACAGCTACCTCTTAATCGAGCATCTCTTCTGTAATTTCAGTAATCCAGCACTCAGAAGATAAAAGGGAAAATATGTCTGTTTCCCCAGGGAGAGGCTTCTCTAAAATGCAAAGTATAGCTTGGATTTTTTGCTCCAGTGCACAAGGTGGAAGGTTTGGGGAGGTTATAGTAATATTTAAGTATTTTTTAGAACTCTTTGAGGAAAGAAATTAAATCCCTGTGGTTTCTAGCTCCAGCCTGGTATCTCATTATCCTGTACAAACCTGGGAGGAAGTTTGCTCAGTTATTAATATCAGATTTCTTGCCACTTTTCCCAAGACTGGCTGGCATCTTGGGAAAATGCATGGTGTTAAGGGAGGAAGAGTGTTCAGGGATTTTTAGAAAAAATAGCTTTCCTTTAAAGCCTCAGCTCTGCACAGCAGAAACAGACTTTAGTGAAAAGGACCGTTTTTAGGGGAGGGAGGTGGTCACAGCCACTGTTGAAGCAGAGTGCTGGATGCTGCTAATGAAATCCTTATGGAAGACACTGGTTTCTCCTCTCCCACCTTTGCAAGCTGTTGTAGGCAATTTCACCCCCAACTAGTAAAGAATGTGGGGTTGCTTGCTGAGGTTTTTTTCCTGTGGACAGTTGTGTTGTATTCCTGCTCTTCAGTTACAGCAAGTTCTTGTTTTCAGAGTAGGAGTGGAATGTTCTGCCTGTTTATTCTTGGGAGAAGATATTTGTCTTTATGAGCTCGTAAAGCTATTAAAAGACTGTGTTTTCTGCTCTCTTCGGGATTACAGACTTCAGAAGTTGCTTCAAAACAAGTCTCCTTGAGCTTGGGGCAGAAGGGGTGTGACTGAGCTGCTTTGATGGTGGAGGATGCTCTAGGTAGCCACAGGATGGTGTGGTCTGGGAGATGTTCTGAGCCAGAGGAGCCCGACACGAGTCCTTGTTGTGCCATTGCCTTGGAGATTGTTACATGAAAGCTTCAGGCAGGAGGTCCCTGGTTCTGCTGGGGGATCTCCTGAAGGTGGGTCACGTGCAGAATTCATTTCAGGATCCTCTGCCTGTCACAGCGAGGCACCCACAGGTCCCGAGGCAGAGAAACGCGAGTGCTGGCAGAGCCCCGAGCCCCTGCTCGGGCAGCTCCAGGCACCAAGGGACCTGCTGGCCCTTCCCACCTGAGTGCCCAGCCCCTTCCCTGTCTGTCTTCTGCCAAAGGCTCACCAGACTGTGGCTGCACAGGGAACAACACCCAGGTCTCCTGCCCACTGCCTGCCATGCAGGGAAACTGTTCCTGGGCCTTTTGTAGCCAACTGCAATCCTGGCTGCTGAGCTGCAAGTGACTTCTGGGTGTGCATTTATATATAGAGTACCCTGTACCCTCCTCCTTGCTGATGGTTGATCCATGGCTTGACCTTCTAAAGTGACTCCTAATTATCTCATCTGTATTTCGGTTCCACAGCTTACTCAGCAGCTTATTAACTGCAAGTTATGCTGCTGTTCCCACAGCTTTCCAAGTAGAAGTATCTCCCCAGGAACCTGCTGCTTAAAATGCAGGAAATCTTATTTAGGGGCTTATCTTGAAGTTGTTTTACTACTTATTCCTCTGTCAGCTGTTGTCTGCCCCCCTACAACTCTGGCACGTGCAGAGAAGAGTAGGAATTGTACCTTTGAGCTTTAGTTCTGGTTATAACCTTTATTTTCTGTGTAACCTTGGCCAGTCCTTTTATTGTTCTGAGACCCAGGTTGCCTCCAGTCCTTGCTCATACTGGTGTAGTGTAGTCCAGGTGCAAAGTGCTACTTACAGACCCTGTGCTGTAATTTACAGCAGCACCTCTGGAAACCATTGCTGGTGTGAACAGTAGCTGCCTCCACGGGAATGTCTTTGCATGACCAAACCCTGGAGTGTTATGTTGCAGGAACTTCTCTGCTCCAGCTGCCTGAGACTTAGAAGGGTTTTCAGCTGCTTTTCTGCCTTTCACTGCAAAGCTGACTCTGGCCTGTGGACCCTGCTGAGCTGCCCAGGTGAAGCTCTGAGTTGCCATTCTCATCTGCTTCTTACCTGGAGCCCTTCTGGACAAGCTGAGCGGGTAAGTGGTGATTCTGTCAGTGATGGTGTCAAAAATATCTGTCACTGCTCTTGAGCAGAAACTGCTGCTCTCACAGCAGCACTCGGGTGAGTCTGTAAGTGAAGTGTCCCAAGGCAGTTTCCCACCTGTGACTTCTGCCAGCGGGTCATTTGTTTCTGTGCCACCCCTGTCCTCTTTGTCTTTGGACTTTTATGATAGAAAGCTGCCCCTTTCCCTTAGGCAGGGCTGTCATCATGAGTTTACGGCCTCTTTCTGGAAAGTTTCTGAAGTTCAGTACAGAATCAAGTAAGAGCAAGCGAGGCTGAACAGAAAGCAATCTCGTGCTTAAAATAGTAAATCTGTCAAGGCAACAACCGAGCAAGTGCGG